AAGCATATAAAAACCATCAAAAAATACCAAAAAAACCACAACCCATAACTCCATTCATCAAAACAATCAGTACAGTCACTGCACTGGCTCCACCACACTCTTGTGTCTCCATGTCCATTGGCAAAATCATATCTACAGGGCCCTACGAAAAACCAGGTTAGTCCTAGTGTGATCTTTCTTTTGGGTGGGGGGCTAGAATATGTTCCATAAGGCAGTGGCCAAAGCAGCACACCATATCATTTGCCTCCGTCATATCTCAGTATGATGTTTGAGAACATCAGTTGATTCTTCCAACTGTTTTACATGTTTGTTGTAGTATTGCCAAAGGAAATTAACACTGCAGTCCTATGTTGTCTGAAGAGTAAGAAACACTGAACTAGTGGAATGTGAGATCTGAGGGCCACAAGTTGTGAACACCACTTTTATATCCACCATCAGAATGAAGGAAACATATGAAATATGTACTATAAGTTGTTAGTTTTTTTGAACTTCATTGACATGGGGTCAATGACTTTTCCTGATTGATTGGGCCACTGTAGCTTTCACCTGTCCAAAATATCTAATATGCTTTATAGAACATCTTTTTTTCAGAATCATAAAACAAACATATCTGAAAAGGATTGATATATCTCAAGAGATTGCTCATAGCATAGTAGAAGAATAGTGCCTCATACCACCACCTAAGAGCATCTGTCCAATATACTGTGCAAGCATCTATTAAAAATGATACTGTGTAAGTCACAACAACATCCTCTTGAGTTTTAAATAACCGCAATGATACTTAACCACCCACCTCCAACATAAAATAGAAACTGTGTGTCAGAAGGGGGCTACTCTTTACTCTTAGCTCATTCTAAAGGATCTTCAGATGGATTCTTTAGAATTCCATTAGGAGAAAGATACATTTTGGGGCTAGTTTGATGTACCTTCTCCTGTTATCAGGTTTGTAAAATCAGAACATTGCATTTTTCCCCTGTAGAATTCTTCACTTAAAATAATACAGACCCTTGGGTATTCTCCCATCGAGTGCCTGTGATCCACCAAGGCTTTATTAAACTGCCAATGGAGACCAACTCTTATTATATTTGGGGGGAAAGACTAGAGAAATTGGATAAGATCTCATTCATGGCTCCACAGCATACAATCCAAACAATGGCTGCACAGAAAAGGATTAAGAAAAAAATATAAAGTTATCTGCATGAATAAAGATGGTGAGTTATTCCCTTTTACCTTGAATTATACTTATTTCTCACTTTTTCCCTGCAAATATTCAACCTATAATTTCCTACCTTTCCTCTTGTAATTATAATTCTAGTTAAAATAGTTTAGAAATACTAAGGGCTTCTATAATCATTATTTTTCAGGCAGTTTTATTTTGGATATGAAATGAAAATAAGATAAGTAGAACTTCATCAGACATTATTATAATCTAAAAATAAAGTGTCAAGCATTACTTCCCCCCCCCCCGCCTTGTTTCTAATTAGCATAGCAGACATGATGTACTAAATTTAAAGACTGAGCTTAAAAGTTATTGGTTAGAGATGCAACATGTTTTTAGTCAACCTAGTTTCAGATCAATGGATGTGAACCAAGTCAGACATTTTTATCTTCTTTACTTTGAATCTAATTGATTCAACAGCTAATGCAGATGGTGGCCTCAGTCAGATCAGAACTTATTCTTATGAGTCTCTGAAGATTTCCTTTTATATTCATAAGAAGCTGAAGTAGGTTCTGATTTGAAACAGGTCTTCAGAATTCCATTTCTACATTTCAGATGTTAGGACTAAGAAATAGTCATCATTTGGAGGGTTTCCTAAGGCTTTATTTGGAGACTTCCACAATGTTAAAGAACATCTTTTAGTGGTGCTGGGGTTTTTTCCCAGAAAAAACAAAACATACTAAAACATGAGCTCCATCAGCATTTGCCAGATGCATTTTATGTGGCTAATCTCAAAAAGAAAAGATAAAGGATGCTTCTAGCACTATTAGAGATCACACCATGACAGAAAACTAGAGGGTGTAAGTATCTCAGGATGGCTAGATTCCAGTACGTTCAAACCATAGGAACTTTAAACATAATTATCCTGTGAGGAATGAATTTCCTAATGTTGTCTTTTTCTGCTTTTCATTCTTTGAACCTCTACAATTCTTTTTGCTGTTTTTTGAAGAAAAAATGTTGCATTATACTACACTGAAACCTTTTGACAAACAAGTGAAATGGAGAGGAGAAATACAACGGATGAAGATGGAGAATTTCCCAGAAATGATGCAGAGAAAGGGATTGCTGAGAGCTTTCGTAGTGTGATATTGATATTGTGGAATACCCAGCAATCTGTCTTGACAAAAAGATCAGTCTGTTTCACTTTTGTTCCCCAAAAGATTTAATGGACGTTTACTGAGCATTGAACAGATGCTATTCATCACTTTCCAAACTCACCGAATAGAAAGCCTTTAACCACCCTATTTTTTCTTCTTCTAGGAATACTATGATTCATAATTAAAAATGGATAATCATACCTCTGAGTTTCTTCTCTCGGAATTGTCAAAGATTTGGGAGCTACAGGTTATTTATGTAACTTTATTACTGATACTATATTTCATGACGGTAACAGGGAGTCTTCTCATCATCACTGCTGTTGTTTTTGACCACCACCTTCACACCCCCATGTACTTCTTTATGATGAACTTAGCGATACAGGACATTGGTTCAGTTTCAGTTATTATCCCCAAAGCTGTTTTTAATTCTCTGATGAAAATAAGGACTATATCTTATTCAGGGTGTGTTGCTCAAGTCTTCTTGTTTCTTTTCTTCCTGAGCTCTGATGTTGCCCTCCTGACTGTCATGGCCTATGATCGGTATGTTGCCATTTGTAATCCTTTGCAATATGAATTAGTAATGAACAGGAAGGCCTGCTTCATAATGCTTGACAGCGTGTGGATAGCTACTTTTCTTAATGCTGCATTACAAACTATTGAAACATTTTCAACTCCTTTCTGCTCTAATATTGTCAATCAGTTCTACTGTGAAATCCCACCTTTACTTAAGATTGCTTGCTCTGGTTCATATCTAACTGAAATTGGAGTTCTAATGTTCAGTATTACATTAGGATTTGGATGTTTCATCTTCATTGTTATTACGTATGTGAAGATCTTCTCTGCTGTTCTGAGAATTCCTTCTGTTCAAGGAAGGAAAAAGGCCTTCTCCACTTGTCTACCTCACCTCATTGTTTTCTCCGTATTTATGTTTACTGGTTGCTTTGCCTATCTGAGGCCCATATCTGACAAACGATCACATCTTGATTTTATAATTACAATACTGTATTCCATAATTCCATCCATGCTGAATCCATTAATCTACAGCATGAGAAACAAAGATTTTAAAGCTGCTCTTTCAAAACTTCTGTGGTTATTTCTTTTTGACAAAACAGTGAACAGTGTATCTACCTTTGATCTGTGAATGAGAAAGATAAAAAGATGACGTAGGAAATAAGACTAAGCTTAAATTTCTGAACATTTATACACTTTCTTAAGATTATGCAGATAATGACAATGTGAAATTTGAATCATTCTCTTGAAGAAAAATTTTAAACTAAAATACACATTTTTATCTAACTTTTCAGCTTTAAATATAATCATAAAGTCACCAACTGAAAAATAAAATTAGAACTAGAAAATTTAGAAAAAAATGTAAATAATCTATATATTGAAAAAGGAAGAGATGAAATGCATTTGAAAATAATGTAAACTTCTGTTTGTTTCTTTAGGATATTAAGAGATGCCTATCACAAAAATAAATATTAGCATTTATGTGGGCTTGGGGGAAAAACCCCCCACAAAATTCTGAAAGAAAATTAGAAACTCAGGGGAAATGAATACTCCTTTATCTCTAATCTTCCTATATATTACTTTAAGAAAAATAACTGAAAAGGGATTTAATCCAAATGTTGTGTTTTCATCAAAGTTGAAATAATACTATAGCATTGTAGTAGAAAATTCATGATGGGGTAATTAAGGGAGAAACATAGAATCAGCACTGCTGAAGAAATATAAAACTCTTTCACTAGCTGTATGTTCTGTACTTATTTCAAATGAAGGATATTATAGACATTTCAGTTATTAGATGCTATTGATCCAACAGCTGAATTTAACATCTTTCTGTGCTAAAATCTTTAGTTGCAGACATACAAATAGATGATTAGGATGGCAGAACTAATATTCATGCATCACATTTGTAGGGAAACATGGTTTGATAGTGCATTCACACATCAATATATATACACATACAGTATACACACACACACACACATGTCTCTGTGTGTGTGTGTGCGTGTGTACTGGGAATATTACAACAATGGTTAATGGTTAACTTGAAGACATACACTTAATTCTTTCTTCTAGTCTTGACTACAGGCATAGCAATAATATCTGAAAGCAACTGTAATTGAATTGCCAAGGAAAGGCAAGGAGCTAATGGAGTGTGCTCATTTTCCTAGGTCCATTTCCTCTTCCACAGCTTTTTTTTTTTTTTAGGTGGAAAAAACATACATAAGCCATTAACCAGTAGTAGGTGGGTTAATCTGACTCTTATTTCCTACATCTCTCCTTTTTGGATATGTTATCATCATAGCACAATACAAGTGTTTATCCTGCTTCTTAATCTATGGTATCAGCATAGCTTGATCTCAGACCCTGGATCACAAGGTTAGCCACTGCAATACGAAATTAAAATGGCATGGTTAGGCATACTTTTTAAACAATCTATCCATATATGATGGATTATTGGTGGCATGTATGGCAGTGTCTGGGAAGATACATTTATTGTTGATAGGATTTTTCCTCACTCACCATTATATGTTTTATTCATGTATTTTGATAGTGATGATGATTTTTCTCCTTTTTCTTTTTCGTTCGACCCAGAGTCACTGCAGTGAGATGGGTAGCCATATCACTTGACTTAATAATAAATAAATACATAATCACAAGATCAAAAGTGTTTAATTAAGGGGATAGGGAGGGAGAGAGATAATACAAGATAGATTCCTTACTCCACCCCAAGAGAAAACCTCTCCACACACAGGTCCCTAGTAAAGTGCTTCACCCAATCTGGCTTTGGAGTTCCTCCACATTTTTTTATAGGACTCCTGACAGCTGAAAGGCCATAAGGTGAACTCCAGTTATGTCTTTCTTTAATATTACTTATGCCCAGTATATTTACAATGAAATACGTAAGAACTGTCTCCCACTTGTGTGACCCATCCTCCTACTGCTGCTTCAGAGCAAAACACCAGGGTTAATAGCTGTTTGCAAATTCTAGCTATAGGCCATCATCCCCATTCACAGGAAATATTAAGCTGCACAGGAGCCACCAAAGAATACAGTTAAGGAGCTGCCAGAGAGTCAGGCACACTAACATTCGCACTAAGGAGTTAGAACCGTTCAAGGACTCCCACAAGACTCCATATGCCAATTTTTAATGATCCTTTCAGATTTCTCCAAACCTGGGATGGAAAGACATAGTTTTTTGGTTTTTCATTGAAACAGACTAATCTGCCTTTATCAAAGCAGAATACTTTCAGTGTATGCCTGTCTTAGTTTTGAGGCTTAAACCGCCCTTTTTTGCCATTATTTTTAAAAGGCCTATATGTAATGTCTCATTTACTACAAATAACTATGAAATATCTAGAAGCGACAACATTGTATTGAGTTTAAATAATAATAAATATTTAATTTCCCACTTCACAATAAAAAGTAGGAGAATATATGATGGGAGCGGCCAATAACTTGGCATTATTAATCTCACACTAAAACACAATATAATAGAGTACTTAAAATCTAATGCAGACAAATTTACTGCATAACTATTTTAACGTATTTTCTCCCATCATGAGTATACTAATCATGAGATCAGGTTGTTGATTTTCCTGTAGAAGTCTTCAGCTAAAATAATATGGTCCCAGGAGTATTAAAAAAAAGTTCAATCCACAGTGACCATCTTAGACTACCAATGGAGACCATTTTTAAAAACATCTTATGGGAAAAAGGGAAGAGATAGTGAATAAAACCATTTAATGTCTGCACAGGAGAAAATCTCACTAATGGATCAACAAAGAAAATGGGAAAAACTAAGAAAAAAAATACATGAATAAAGATGGTGAGTTATATGCTTTATCTCAAACAATCTGTTCCTCTCTCTCTCCCTTCCTTCCTTCCTTCCTTCCTTCCTTCCTTCCTTCCTTCCTTCCTTCCTTCCTTCCTTCCTTCCTTCTA